CCTTCAGTTAGTACTCAATATGATAGATATTAGTAATTTCCCATTAAGAAAAAACTTCAGTTCTAAGTATTTGTGTAAGTAAACAATTTGTTAAATTAATTAACCATCACAACATTCAAGACTCCGGCTTTTAATGAAATCAAGCGTGCTTTCCTGCAACTTCATCATAATTCTTTGCTTTTACAGTCATCATTCCTGCAGCAGTAGAGGGTGAACCAGTTTCACAAGTTCTATCATACTGTTGAGCATAATGCATCACAAGAGATCCAGAACCAATATGTATTAATTTGTTTTTGTAACTTAGATCCCGGCGCGGAGGCGCGGGCAAAGATACTAGTATCAATTAAAACTAAACCCAATCACAAATCTGGTGTTCATTTGACAAAGAATAAGAAGAAAACAGACAGCCAGATTGGGAACCAGATCACCGGCAACCCTGGTCTCCTTTAGCCCAAGCGGTGGCGCAGCCGATGGAGAAGAAGATGAGGAGGCACTGAGGGAGGTCGGATAACGGAGGCCCCTTCTACCTCCTCATTCTTGGTCTGAGAAGGCGACGAGAAGGCTTCTTCTTGAAGATCTGGAGCGAAAACCCTAGCCCCTGTCGTCTCGATCTCTCCACCGCCACCATCTCATCCAACTTTCGAAGCCTCACTCTCTGCCCCCACCTTGCTGGAACCCTTGCTCTGTCGTCTCGATCTCTCCGCCATAGTCGTCTGGCCTTTTTGCCAACGTTGCCGCATCTCGCCAGAGCAAGCCGCTAGAGGCGGAGGTGTTGTTTTTTTTAGAGGAATCAAAGGAGATGAAAGAAGGTTCTGTTTTCTTTGAGAATAGAGTGGCAGGTGAAGGAAGGGGTTGTTGTTTGCAGAGGAACGAAGGATAGGTAGGTGAAGGGCTCGTTTTCAATTTCCAACAGAGAGAAATAGTGGTTTGAAATTTGGGCGGTGGTGGGTTTGATTTATCTGCTGAAAATTTTCAACCATAAAAGGAGGGAAATTTTGGGCGGTGGTCAAAATTTGGGTGGGCATTTCTCAAGAAAAAATTAGGCGGGCATTGAAATATTGGGCGGGCAAAGGATTTGTGTCGGTTCAATACGAAACCGACCCAAATCAACAATAATTGTGTCGGTTATAGTGAAAACCGACTCAAATACGAAAGAAATTGTGTCGGTTCTCTCTAATCGATGTAAATCATAAGAAATTGTGTCGGTTGCTTAACCGACACAAATCTCCGACGCTAAATAATTTTTTAGTGTTGGTTCAATGAACCGACACAAAACCCCTGTTTTCCTGCAGTGGTGACTGATTATTAGTCACGGGAAGTGAAGATTAAAAATAGGCAAATTTAATTCCCGTGATTGTAACTATAAGATTAATTACGGGAAATTTTACCATGCTTAGTAGCATACTTCTAAGTACAGGAAACACTATCGTGAATAAGATATCGTGATTGAAAACCAGTTTTCCTGTAGTGTAATAAGGTATATAGACTATAGAGTCGATGTATAGGGTATATGGTTAGTCTAATGGGTTAGGGTATAATGTATTAATGGTTTAACAATTATTAGTCAAAATCATAACTAATAAGATCAACTTTTCTTATTAACACATGTTCATCAATCAGAATTCAGATCATTAGGGGTTTAGGGTATAGGTTATAGAGTCGACTTATAGGGTATATGGTTAGGGTATAAAGTCGTAATGATTTGACCACGGTTAGTCAAAATCATAACTAATAAGATCAACTTTTCTTATTAACATATGTTCATGAATCAACTAGTAGGGGTTTAGGGTATAGGTTATAGAGTCGACTTGTAGGGTATATGGTTAGAGTATAAGGTATTAATGGATTGGCCACGATTAGTCAAAATCATAACTAATAAGAACAAGTTTTCTTATTAATATATGTTCATGAATCAAACCATTAGGGGTTTAGGGTATAGATTATAAAGTTGACTTATAGGGTATAAGGTATTAATGGTTTAGCCATGATTAAACATATGTTCATCAATCAAACCATTAGGGGTTTAGGGTATATGATATAGAGTCGACGTATAGGGTAATGGGTTAGGGTTAAGGTATTAAACTATTAATGGTTTAGCCAAGATTAATCAAAATCATAAATAATAAGGATCAAGTTATTTATTAACAAATGTTCATTAATAAAATCATTTGGGGTTCAGGGTATAGATTATTTAGAATTTAGATTATATGTTATCGAGTAAAGTTACAATTGAACTCACAACAATTTTTCTAAATTTTATAATTTAGTTGGGTTAATTGCATGGTTGGTCACTGAGATTACAAAAAACGTTCAAGTTTGGTCACTCGAAATATTTAAATCCATTGGTGGTCACTGAGATTACAAAAACCGTTCACGTTTGGTCACTCTCCGTCCAACTCCGTTAACTTTGGCTGATGTGGCAGTCAACTCTCAAAGTTGACCGTTAACTTAGTGACGTGGCAATTAAGAAATAATAAATAAAATAAAATTTAATCTATTTTAATGTCCAACTTATTTTACTATAAATAAAAAAATGAAATAATAAATATTTATTTATTTTATTATTTCCTTAAGCTCCTCGCTCTACCCTCCGTTGATGTGCTCTTGCTATTCCTCTTGGTCTTCGATCCACACCAGAGGTTCCACCGAATCGAGGCTAGCTCCTTCCCTTTCTCCATACACAAACCACCGTCTTCTCGCCGTCAGCTCTTGCCATCCCAAGAGGACGAGGGGGAGCTTTGTTCTGCAGCCCTTGAAGACACCTACGTCCTCGAACCACCGCCGCCCGGCCTCCCTCCTGCTAGCAGCGCTGAACCTATCGATTGTTTGAAGCTCAAATTGCTGGTGAGTTTTTCATCGTCTCGTATTTAATCTCCGGCGTCTGCGCGATGCTCTCCTTCTTGTGCTACAGCCAATTCGCCGTCGAATTGTCGGTCACTGGAGGCTCGTACGCCTAGCTTCGAGTCGAATTGGGCGACTTTGTGGCGTACATCGCCGCCGGGAGCATTCTGTTCGAGTACATCGTCGCCGGAGCGAGCTTCGCGAGGTTGTGGACTTCCTACTTCGCCACGCTCTATAACGGCGAACCGAACGGATTCCGAATCTACGTCGGATTTTTAGCGACGGATTACAACTATCTGGATCCAATTGTCGTCGCTGTTTAGTCCGTCGTCTGCGTCGCCGACTCATGGAGCACGAAAGGCTCGTCGTGGTTCAATTTCGTGACCACAATCATCCATCTGGTTTTGATCTTCATCCTTGCCCATTCTCTTTTTAATTCGTTCTTGAAACCTTTCTGAATACCTCTGGGTCTTTGATCGCCGCTCTTTCATCTGGTCAGTTTCCGGTGTCATTTTGAAGTTTGGTGGGAACAAAGAACAGCATATACATTTAGGCAGTAGAGTCAAATAGATTATAATATATTTTATTTATTTTATGGTACAAATGAGTTGGATATTAAAATAGATTAAATTTTATTTTATTTATTATTTTTTAATTGCCACGTCACACATTTAACGGTCAACTTTTAGAGTTGACCGCCACGTAAGCAAAAGTTAACGGAGTTGGACGGAGAGTGACCAAACGTGAACGGTTTTTGTAATCTCAGTGACCACCAATGGATTTAAATATTTCCAGTGACCAAACTTGAACGTTTTTTGTAATTTCAGTGACCAACCATACAATTAACCCTAATTTAGTTTAATACAAAAATCATATAAACAATTAACTAGCTAAAACAACAATTTCTCTATATATGAACAATTTGTCAAAAAAAATATATATGAACAATTTCACCTGTTTTTAAAAAATTAAAAACTATTTTTAAACTTTTCTCTCCAAATTTTGGGTTCCCCCAATACTACAGCCCAAAAATTTGACTCCCCCCACCCGCCGAGACCCGCCAATAATTCCCCTGTAATGTTTCCCCAAAATTTTGTTTCCCCCCATCTTTGAGTCTTTGACTTTGAGTAGTGATTCCTGTTTTTTGACAAGTATTGTGCTAGCTTCATATAGTTACGATTTACGACTTACTAGTAATCACTAAAAAGTAACGCGATGTTCTGGTCCGTAAAACCCGCAACCTGACCCGCCCGACTCGCAACCCGATTGACCCGCACCCGATTGGCCCGCAACCCGATTGGCCCGTAACCCGATTGACCCGTAACCCGAATAACCCGCAACCCGATCGACCCGAATCCGATGAACCCGCAACCCGATCGACCCGCAACCCGACCAACCCGCAACCCAAATGAACCCAGCCCGAACCCGCCCGATTGACACCTCTACTTGTCAAGGTTGTCAACCGTGGTTGACCCACTTTTACCCTAATCCAGTTAGAAAGACGGGCCGCACACATCCATCGAGTCAACAACTGCAAGGTATTGGGTTGGAGGTCAAATTGTGTCATTTTTTTCTTCTTTGGTTTGCGAAATGCACCTATTTTCTGATTTTCTTTTTCGCATAACCCATCTTTGAAATTCTAAGTTGAATATTAATATTATATGAGTGGTTGAAATTCTAAGTTGAATATTAATATTATATACGTGTGGGTGAATTTACACTACATGCTGGATTCAAGTACGAGTGTACGACATAACATTTTCACATTTTGCTGACATAACATTTTGACATTTTGCTGTAATGTTATATGATTCAAGTCAATACAAAACCCTAGCCGAAGGAGAACACTTTAACATTTCCGCGGATTCCGGTTTTTTTTTTTGGGTAAAGAATTAACGATGTAACTAAACCTTTGCGTTCCATTTGTTAAAAAAAATGACACTTCTTCAAACTGATGATTATGTCGATAAATCAAAATGCATGATCCGATTGGTCGTCCAGCCAATGTGGGTGTGACGGAACACAATGCCACGACCACATCCAGCACCCAGCAACCTCCGCTACCTACACCGAGTCTCGGGGTTCTTTCTACCGCAAAACACAGACCAAATCTTTCCACACCACCCCAAAAGTAAACCCTGCCCCATATTAAACACCATCGTATACATACCCAAGTAAACCCTACCCCACGGAAGCAGAAAACAAAAGGAAACAAGGTGAACACTTTTTATATATTTCACATTTTCCGTTACAGTGAGTCTTCCAAAATAGACTCTGGTAAACAGCTTCACCACATATGGATGCATGCCTAACTAGACCGACTTTAGGTCTTTCATTTATTCCAAATCCTTGCTTCTTTTTCTTCTCATACACGACTAAGTGGCGACAGCAAATATTTACCTTATTTCTTTATACAATCACAGCTACCTCCCGACCGATAAATGTTCTCTCGTGCAGCTACCTCATCCAAACCAGACTGAAGAATTTAACCACTAACCCCCCAGCAGTTCAATCAGCAAAGGCAACGATGCTACAATAGCAGGAAAGAAAAGGAAGAACATCAATAGCAGCTTGTGGAAAATGCATTGGATGATTAGAGCTATCTTAAGAAAACCAGATACAGAAAGTACGAGACATGGGAGAACACGCACGAAGCCCTAACCAACAATTTTCGAGCCTCACAAACGTGGATGCAGATAGAGATCAGCGCTCACCGACTAACTCTGGGCACACTCGAACGGGTGCAGAGTTCCTTCAGTGAAGTCATGCATCCTGAACCTCTCCAGAAGTTCAAAAGGCCTGCGCACAAAAGTTAAGAATCCTTGTCAACCAAGCTACACAAAAAATTGAGTTCACTCAAACATGACGCATTTGCCCAGAGTACGAGGTCTTAGTCAAACTGCTACGTCAAGTAAACAGAAGAGTTACAGGTCCTTAAGTTTAACTTTGGAAAATTTACAATCTACAGACCCTGTACAATCAGTAGGAAGTAGATTCCGTAGAATGTGATAGATAGAAGTGGATTTTTGACACTTCATAGTTTACATGCTGTTAATATCACTTAAAATGAACTTAAAACATTTAGGAGAAACACATAACCTAACCCTGCCCCCATAGTATCTGAATTCTCTCTCCATGGAATATGGACTCCGTGGTGTCCACATATTTCCACTAAAAAGAAGCAAACAAACAGGTAACTGCCCTACTTTCGATCATTCCATGGAATTTACGCCACATTCCATAATCCTAACAAACCTTTAGAGTTCCTTTCTCAAATGGCACCATCAATGGTTCAGCAGTGTGATGCATTAAGATGGATATCATATGCTCAAGCAGAATATAAACAAGCTTGAGGTTAGCTCTATGATCCAGTGAGAAAAAAGGAAGTTAAGGTATCTTCCTTCAAAACCTCACATGACCCAGTAATGGACCACAAATAGGTAGGGAAAGGATCTAATGAAAGAACAGCAGTCAATACCAGCCATACATACAGTTGACCACATGGACTTACAGGACAACTTCACGATTGTGGCACATTTTACGTTGGTTGGTTTCCATGACTTCCACCACATTATTACTTTCATGTCCTGCTGCTCCCCCAGCAACAATTGATGGAACAGAGGCACTTGGAGTCCAAATCTAAAACCATTACCCAAAATTTAAGGATACAAGTCAGTGACCTAAAATGAAAACTATTTTCCAAAGAAGCACACTAACAAACCTTTATAGTGTTATCAATCCCACTGGTTGCCACTACACAGTCCGATGGATGGGACTGTACACAGTTGACAACTGTAAACAAAGTAATCATCAGGCAAAAGATAATGCAACGGCCATGAAATATTCAACACTCAAACAAATTTGAAGGTTACCTGCTTCATCACCATGTAGCATTTTCATCAATCTACCAGTTTTCTTTTCCCAGATAAACCACCGACCATCATCACTTCCACTAGCCACAAACTCGCCTTAGGAGAAATGAAAACCAAAAGAAACAATTGTGATATAATTGGAGGAGCTCAACCAGAAGACTAGAGATCAGAGGTAAAGCAATTAGCAGAAGAAATCCCCGTAATAATTAATGCTGCCTGATGCTATGTTATCAACCATAATGTTGAGACTTTTCCTCAAAACGATTATTCTGGAGTTGCAACATAGCCCCTGTGGCCAGCATAAGCTATCAGTTGTATTGGTTATCTTATAGTTCTTATTTCTGCTGATTTCTTTGAAAGCGGGATATTGCTACTTTATCCTTTCAAGTTTCAGCCATGCATGTATGTTTTGGAAAATATCAGTGGAACTGAAGGAATTTATTTCAGAAAAATAGATGAGTTCAGTTTCTCTGTCCTAGATCCAAGGTTCTACTTGATTTTACCCCCATTTTCACTATTCTCATCCCCAGATTTTCTTTCCTATCATCGAATGTGCTTAAATTTAACCCCTTCTGTATGTTCCCTGGTAGCATCTTTATTTAAGATTGTCCCTCTAGAATTGATGAGTTTTGATGGTTGCAATAAACCATCATTTGTACGAGTAATAATTTGAGACATGATCAATCTATCTGCGTAACACACTGTATCCAGTGCAAGTGTAATATGAGCTGCCCAACAGGACTTCGTCAGCTTTGCAGCATACCACTTACCATTTAGTTTAGCAAAGGGTCCCCAACAACTCAATCCAGGGAAGAACAGGCATTGTAATCTAGGACTCCCGACTCAGAGAGAGAGAAATTTGGCTATTGTGCTTGGGCTGGTGTATGGATGAGTAGAAAAGCATTCAATTCTTGCCCAAGCCAAGAAGCCACCAGACTGATCGTTTCGATAACAGAAACCAACTTGACAAGGACTAAGTTAACAATAACAGACATCTAGCCCTTGGATATTGCCACGATCAACAAGGAAAAAAGTTGCAAGCAACTAGATTGAAACCTTGGTAGACAATATTAATGGTAAGGCTGCAAAGTCAACGTGATAAATCTCAATGCAGTTTATATGAATTGTTGGATTCGACAGGAATCAGACAGAAAGAGCAAAAGAAAGTAAACATAGGAATCTGAAGAAACCATACATCAAGATTTTTAATTAGAAAATAATAATAATAAAATCATTGATAGAAATAGATACCTCTTTGCCCCAGGAAACTGGCCTGTTTTATGTCTGTTCCAACATTGCAATGGCCAATGAATCTCTGCTTCATGTCAACGGCTGGTTCTGGCTGTGGAAGGAGAAACAAATGAGAAGATTGAGGTGCGGATTCACACATACAAATTATGTAATAATAGTATTCACAATGACTAAGGCCAGATTGTTTCAGTAGCACACTGGAAAGAACAAACTCGAGGGCCATGGAAACCTAGGGGTTAATGTGCTGCCTATTCCATAATCTTCTTGAGGCCACCTAACAGCATGCAAGATGGTAGAACCCATGAAACAACATACGTTAATAACATCAACTTCAGTGTTCCTCTATTTGAAACCCTATTTAACAGAACAAGTATCATTAAATCCCTCCATGCCTTTTTAGTTGAAAGCAGTCAAGCACATGAACATTCAGTTATCAATTCCTCTACTGTTCTGATAGAAAAATATAGGCCAATCAAGATGAAAACCTTGCAAGCAAAATAACAGTTTTATTATACAATATGAAAAGCAATGACACAAAAGAACTGAACAAGGACCTGATAAGGTGCATGGTCATTTTGTGAAGATGGCGAGCCATAAGATCCATTTGTAGAGCTTGTTTCTCTTGAATCATCACCTCTCCGATGAATTCTCAGATTTAAGCTTCCATGAAGAGTGTTGGGATCAACATCCCGTCCTTCATCACCTGATATTGAAGTTTCAAAGTCCAACTCCAACTCCTCGTCATAGTCTGAATCTTCTCTATCTGGCCTTGGGCCGTCTTGTGACGCATCACTGTTACCCTCAGATCGATAGAGTAATTCACTCAATGACAAGGATCTTCCACTTCGAGGTTCGGACTTTGGTGCCCCGTCAGCTGCCTTACCTTCACCCTCTGCAAGTCATGCAAAAACCCAAGTGAGATGCAAATACAATCTGAATGCAGCCGATGTGCCCTACGTTATGCATGCTACGCCGAGGAGGAACTCTGGTTTAGCAACTTCAACAGCGCTAAGAAACAAAAAAAAAAAAATTACAGAACAAGCTGAATGACAAAGGTAAATTGTGAGCTTCTTTAAACAAATGTACATCTTGTAACTTGAAGCAGGTCTGGGCTTGTTTACTTTTTACAAAGAACAGACTAAATGATAGGCATATGAATATGTAGATCTCTTTAAACAAGTATGAATTTGCGCAATGACTAGGCAGATTCTATTTTGGGTCAAAATAAGTTGTCAGTGGATAAGACAATAATGAATGGATACATGATGACTCAAGAAGTAGGAACCGACAACCTAAGGTTCAATAGAAAGTTGGAAGGCTTATACTAGACAACTTGCATGATGACAAAGCAAATATGAATGATTACATAACCCAAAATAATTGTGAATGTGGTTGATATTCCACTCTTTCAGTTCCCCCCCCCCCCCCCCCCCACCCCCCCCCTCCCCTTTTGCCTTGCCGCTGAAAAGTTTAGAAGCAAACACTTTCAGCCTTACACTTCCATTTCCTATATTGTTCGGTACTAGCAGCAACCAGGTTACATCAAATGACAAAGCACAAAATAGGAGCATGCCAAATGTTTTCTAATTAGCTGAGAACCCACTGCAAGAACAATCAACTAAACTGAAAAGGGTCGTGAAATTCCAGTCTTTCAAGAGAGGAGAACAACAACTGGTGAACAGAACCAGAATACAAACAGATGGAAAGGCACTGGAAAATTGTAAACCACTCACCTGCAGCAATATTCTTCTTCATAGTCTCCACCCATTCTGCCACTTCATTATTAGATGGGGCCATACTTTGAGCAGCAACAGCAAAGTCCAGAGCTTCCTTGTGCTTCCCCAACTGCCAAAAGAGAAACATGACAACTAAAAATAACAGCAAGACCACATCACCAAGTACAAAAATCCTGCATCTTCAATTAAACACCAGCGCCTAAAGCTAGTTAATTTCCATCGCCAGACCAAAATTTGAAAAATAATTGTCGTTCCAAGTTATCCATTAAACATAAGAAAATAACACCAGTCCAAATAATAACATTTAGCCAACATGCAGAGAAATTGTGCACTTCCATGAAAGCAAAATATTAAAACAAACCCCATTCATGTTCAAAGAAGAGAAGTGGGCCCCTTCCGAGGAAAACTTATCATACACATAGATGACCAGCCAAATTTATCTTCAAAAAAAATCATTCGTCTCCCAAGAAGACAAGTGCTCTAGTCTAAGACAATACATTTCAGTGATGAACGCATGGAAACCTGCTTAGAGTTGTCAAAGGAGAACTACAGAACGAACCAACCAAGTCCAGACAGATGGTACAGAACAATATTAGCAGTAGAAAGCAAACAGGGTATCTGATTGGTTCCACACTGACCCTACCTGTGACAAAGCTTCAGACATGTAGTAGAGAGCTTTAAAAGAAGAGCTATCGATTCTGCGAGCAACATAGCAGTCTCGTATAGCCATGTAAACGTCATTGTTCCACTTCCGCTGGCACAGATATTAAATCATGGCCATATTAATTAGTAGGTGTGAAGATGCAGGAAATAAATAAAGACACCAAGTAATCCAAGGCGCGAGGGGAAACCTTGAGCAATAAGGCTGCACGTGTGCAAAGACATTCAATCAGCAGTACTGGGCTAATATTACGTCCATGAGCATGCACTGCTTCATTGCAAGCCTCAATTCCTTCGAAATAGTTTCCATCCTTCAAAGACTTCACAGCAATATCAACCAGCTTCACGCACATATCAATCTGCGAAAGTAGACTAAACACACATTAATCTGCTTATTATCATCAGTATTATACATAAATTTCAGAAAAAACAAACAGCATACCGTGGGAGAAGCATTTCTTTTGTAGGGATCACTTCTCTCTGATGTTACAGAGGAAACCGACTGCAGTTCCAGACCATTCAGCACAGGAGTGAATGTCATTAATTTTGAAACATCTCCTGTGTTATATTGCATGGGGCTACCACCAGCTGTGACAAAAAAAAAAAAAAAAAATTACTTTAAACACATCATCCATATAACCAAACAGTCTAGAGCCCTACTTTCTCACAACATGATAAACAACGCATGATACGATTAAAAGGTGAAATGTTCAAGCGAATGGGTCATTTCAAAATGGAAGCACATAGAATCTCAAGTTAATCTAGGACTTTGAAGATTAAGTCAAGGAACAGTTAACTAAGTCAAGGAACAGTTAACTAAATTCAAAATTTTCAATCGATATAGCTAAGAAGTGATTTCAGCTATTTTAAACTTTACAAGATCAACAAATTGCAACAAGCGATCCCAAAACTGAGGAAGCATACCATCATTTACATTCATTAAGTAGACATGCTCTCCACTATAACTGATGAGCACCTCATCGCCACTTGGACTGAATGTAACATGGGTTAGATGCAGGCTTGATCGTCCCTGAAAAGAAAAATTAAAAGTTTGAATTCTGGACACTTTAACATTTGACTGGCCACCATATCTAATCGCACGTACTATCCTGAAATTCTTATAAAAAAAAAGAGGAAATCAACAATGGGACAAAATTTAAACTCCAAACTTAATCAGGGGCCATATTATATTAGGCCATTCTTAACCCCAAAAAAAGAGTGTCTAGATTGGAAAAGTTACCAATTCCTGAAGCTAAGGGTACAGCTTGAAAACAACAATGAACATTGGTAGGACTCATGGACAAAACTTACCCGTTCAGAGAGATGCATTGGACAGAAATAGTTCACACAAGGAGGTGGCAACGTCCTTTTCTGACAAGAAGTCGGAGGAGGCAGCATCCTTCTATCATATAAACGGGCAAAAGCATCACTGCGAACATTCAGGGTTAAGACATCAGTGAAGATTACAGCAAAACTGAGGGAAAATATTGTCTGTCTAGAAATTACACATATACCTCCCACCAACAAGTAGCAAATGAGGACGAGTGGTGCTTATGTCGCAAGACTTTAGACCAAGAACTTGTTTTGGGGGATCTGCAAGAGACCTCTTAGCTCCAGACCGCAAGTCAAGCTGCCACCAAGTACTAGATGTGAAAAGCAACTAACTTTATGCATATAAATTTGATGGTATAAATTCAAAGGAAACAGAAATATCACCAACAGATATGCCCTGTCAGTGTTACTGTTCAGCACCATCACTACTAGAGTGGCAAGTTTTTTTGTTTTGTCTGGGTGGAGTCCAGTACAACTAGGCTTAGTTAGTAAAAATCCATTCAATACCCCGCATAGTACTGGTACGTACTAAATGTGTTTAAAACTTCGTTCCCACATTATTGCAGACATTTAATTTTCCCCCGTTTCTTTGATGCTTGATGTACTAAACAAGTATAAAACACATATTTTACGTTTAACAAACGTTTCTAAGGAACTTATGAGATGATTTAATTTTTTATTATATTTACTTTTAAATCTTTTATAATTGCTGCTGAACTTTAAACATACTGTTAGCTTGAAATGATGTAAAGACCTCCGTACATATTAATGCCGTAACATACACATCCACATTACATATGTTACTTCCCACTACCAATGTAGAGAAAGTTATATTTCCCTTTATTTTTCCCTAGAACAAGAAATATCTGCTAGCAACGTCTATAACCTAGCAATCAAGACTGCACACAGCATACGACAGCAGCACTTTTCTTCCAAGCTGTATGGAAGCAGTTCCAGAAATCACGGTCCTAGCTAGAAAGGTACTAACTAAATTCATCTCAACATAACAGACTATAATAGTCTGACCAGAAATGACAAGACAACTGTCCATAGCATCATACAGAAGACAAGAAAATATGTAGCACCTGTTGCAACAACAGCTAAAAAGCATACCATGAGTTCAGGCACATTAACCCAAATCAATGGCAAAACCAAGATAATAGTTCTGAATAAAAGTCCCTAGCATATATGAGAACCCAAAAACAAAAAGGAACATATATGGAGAGAAAATAAATGAAGTTTCCTAGAACATTATAAAAAAGCACAGAAGAAAAGCAGGCATTGGTCAACAACCAAGCAAATAGTCACAATTTTCACATAGAAAGTAAATTTGTCAACATTGGATATGTCTGCTGAGATTTATGATAGGTCTAGTCTAACCATACATAAAACTTAATTGTTAGGCAATCGCAACATCTAAAGTTACCAAAATGTTGCGGCATTCTTGAGAAGATCCTGCTGCTGGACAAGAAGCACACTCCCTAAAGTCATGCTGTCTCAGTGTTCCATCTTCACTAGCACTCCACACCACATTGGGGTTCCCAATTTCAACCTACAAAATGCATGTATAACTAGGACTGCCAAGGGTTGGATGACAATTTTGTTTACTGCTAAAGAACGAACATTTAAAATATAGAAACTTCAAGGTCATAATTCATGAGGATCCATAAAGTAAATAGACTTCTCAGTCAGTACCAGAAAATCTTACAGCTAATTTTTTTACTCTTCTAGTGTGACACTGGTAGAGTGCTGAAGGAACAATTCCAGTATCATCAGGACCTCTCCCACCTGATCGAGACAAGTTGAATAGCCTAACCTGAAGGAAAAGAAGGAGAAACAACCTGTCAGCAAGTCAACAAATATCAACATCTAGCACAAACATCCACTCAAAGTGCATGAACCATACTTCTGCATCTCCCGCCCCAGAAACTACAAGCTCATCCGATGTCTCAGGAATAAATTTGGTACAAAATATGTTTGCCGAATGCCCAGTATCAATGGAAAGCAGGAGCTTTCGACCAACATAGCTCCATATGTTCATCTGCAGCAAATGAAAAAGCTATTACAAAATTTGCAGCTGAAACGCTCAGCTAATACACCATACGTACTTGCAGATCAGAAAATATGCAGCTGAAACACAGCAACTAATACACATTGCTTACTTGGGAAACGTCTGGTTATCAGAATAATATATAGTGTCATCCCATGCACCAAACAAACACAACTATTCACAGCGCATTAAAATATCACATACTCGGAGTCTAAGCTTAACTCAATTCATGTGAATTAACTAATTGGTATGGTACGAAGCACTTGACCAATGACCTAGTGCTCATGCCTAATACTTATAATTTCTATAACGCCCCTCAACCTCCTAATCTCCCTTCAAATGGTCTTCTTTGACGGTTATCACAGTTAGACCAAAATTTCCTAATGATGGCTTATCTAAATTATATTATTATATTATATATTATATATTATAAACTCAATGCATCACTTTACTGATATCAGAATAGGCCATAGGCAACACTATTCAGATAAATTGATACAAGTACTAGCATACTCCCACGCAGAAATCAAAACCTCAATATATCTCATATCGCATTACGCCACTAACCCAACTCTTGTCATTCACACCTGTTCAGAATTTGCTTCCAAAGTTCAGAAACCTGGATAACATGAATTTTCACATTCAAACTTAGAAAAACAAGATCGGACACCCATGCATCAGCAGATAGTCATGCATCCCCATTGACAAACTATGTTGTCATACATAACATACCCTAGTATCATCTGATCCAGAAATCAAGAGTGAACCATTCGAGTTCCAAGCTATAGCATTGACACAACCCTGATGCCCCTGTCCGAACACAAGAAAAATACAAGAAGGCATTGTTACTATAGGAACATCAGATGAGGTGCAAAATAGATGGTGGAAACACTAAGCCAGGGATGTACCAAAGCTAGCAATCAAGATTAAGAAACAGTTGGTAATTTTTAAGAAATACAGGCATTATTATGAGCTAAACAATGCTTACTTCCATTTCTCCATCCTGTGAGAGCCTCCGAATCAATGATGAATGCATCTGAAACTCACGAGCATTGTCCTGGATGGGAAAGAACGTTACAGTTACCCATCTGGTATGAAAAGGTGATAGAGGACACGCCTAACACAGTGCTAATACAACACTGATTACATATGTTTGCAACACGAATCGGTGCAAGGAAAACAGTGGAACTCTGTTAGAGATGGAGTAAACAGCATTGTTACAGAATCTCGTCCTTTCAGCAAATGTTTGCAACACGAAGCGGTGCAGGGAAAACAGTGGAACTCTGTTAGAGATGGAGTAAATAGCATTGTTACAGAATCTCGTCCTTTCAGCAATGTATTATGGATGAAACAGAAACGATTGCTCATCAACTGATGGAATAATCACCAGAACAACTGTACTGATTTCGAACTCAATGAACCAGAATTGCAATTCTTCTTGCTCATCCTAGGCATTCGTAACATTTCCTCCAATTCACCATTTACAAATTAGCTTCAGTTAGCAACCACATCGTATACGACCGCCAAAACTACCAAACGTCTGAAGAAAACCAGATATAGGCCTAAACAACAAAGCACCGCAGTTGCGAAGGTACGGGAAAACAGAATTAAGCGGAGAGTGAAGCGAGTAAAGAGTGAGCCATACATGTCGAACGTCCAAGCATCTGCTCTCCAGCAAATTATGGAAATTGCCGTCGTGAAACCCGCAATCGTCCATTTACGGAAGAGGAACTGCGCCAGAACCCTAGCCTCCGAGCGAGAGCAGAGAAGCGATAATTGATAACCGAGTGAACAACTGATCACTCTCTGAAATTGGAGTCTTCTCGATCAGTTGGAATTCCGGGCTGAATCATAAGACCTTTGATTGAAATGCTACGAAAATCGTGTTCTTTCTTCTTGGTTACCAGAAGCAGGGATGGCGATTTATAATTGCTCCCCACACTTCTACAAGCCTCGTGTTGGTTTGCTTCGTTTTTCTTTTAATTCCCTCCTCGTCCCTTCATCAACTTTCTACACTTTGCTACTGGAGTCCGGCGCAAAGCAGGAAATAAGGAAAGGAAAAATAATTAGCATCGTCATTTTTCATTGTTTTAGGAATGTTCTGGCACCTGGGTTGTGACTCGTGCATGTCTAGTTGAGTTCTTTCGTAGGTTTGACAAAACGAGGCAACATTGCTTAGGTCTAACCGAATTAGCTTACAAGTGCCGGATATGAATAGTATTATACATATTATGTATATTTTTTATTCAAATCTTTTTCAGATTCTTTTATATTAATTAAACCTATCGAAATACTAAGAATTAGCCAAATATTAACTTTCAGTTAGTAATTTTGTTAGTAATATTGACTTGGAAACATGATATTGAATTGGAAGAGACTCATGAAGGTCAACATTCCAATATTTTAATATTTTAACTAAGAAAAGAGTTACAAAATTATTAACAATAATGTAAAAATGGCTAATATTTTTATGCATTATGAAAGATTTGGATAATTAATAGTATTTTGATAGGTTTGGATGATATAAAAGAATCTGAAAAAGATTTGGATAAAAAATAGACATTACCCTAGTATTTATTTTGATGTTGTGTTTAGTCTATCAATTAGTTTAAATTTATCGTCAATCCTCTTGAATGATACTTAGAGGTTGTTTGGATGAGAGGCTGTAGTGCAGGATTTTGCCACAATCCCTCACATTCTCGGATTTTACCACAATACTGCATTTGAAAAGAGTTTAAAAGATAAGGGATTTTAGTTATAAGAGATTTCAAAAACATGCAAGTGCAGGATTATTTTTTTTCTTTCTCCGTTGAATCAGTTGCTTTCATTGCTCGAATAAAAAGGTAACCGATACAATGAAGTGGAACCCTAAAAGGGAGAGTCCCATGAGTGTCTCACAAATATATAAGCTATAAGCTATTCCCTCTCACTCACCGTAAAAGAAAACAAAACTACTACTTACAAACTAGTAACAAAGGCTATAAGTATCTCAAGCGTGTAAGTGCATCTCGGATCATCCTGTTTCCACAAGACAAAAAACGAAAGGTCTGCCCTGATAAGATCAACAAGAGCTTCTGGGTCACGGAGGGGTGATTCATGAACAACTCTGCATCTTTCCTTCCAGATAAAAGATACTGCAAGACACCAGACAAGAGCATGCCACTGGCCTGCCTGAGAGTCTCTACGAGTTGCAGCGACTATTTCCTGTGTCATGGCTCATGGCCTCCCAACTTGGAGAATGTAGAAAAGAGAAATGCATCAGCATAGACAGCCTTTGAGTGTAGGTGCATCTCAGAAACAAGTGCTCTCTACTTTCCACAGCAATACCACAGAGTGAACAGACTGCATCTCTGATCTTTCCCCGCTGCAGCAATTTATCCCTGGTTGTAATGGCATTGCGCATTATCAGCCATGAGATCATGCTATATCTCGGGGGACAATATCTATTCCAAATAATCTTATGCCATGTGACCTTAGGAGCTCTCCTGCGCAAAATTTCCCACACTCTTCGAATAGAGTAAACCTGCATTTCACGAGAATTGCAGTAAAAGATGCCCTGTTGCTGGTGAATCCACGGGTGAATGATGCTTCTCAGTTTAAGCAGTCTTCTCCGGGTCCATGAACTACAAAACTATACTTTAAAGGACCAGAGATCCCCCTGCATGCATCTGTATTCATAAATCCATGCAACCCACAGAGCTCCAGCTTTCATAAGAAACGACCAAAGCAAGCGGATGGAGCAAGCTTGATTCCATGCCAACAGATCTTTAATCCCAAGTCCACCCTCCCTTCTAGGTAAAGCTATAGAATCCCATGCTACCTTTGCTCTGCCTACATCATTCCCATGCCAGAGAAACTAAGAACATACCTGCTGGATTCTCTTCAATGCTTTCTTTGGGAGCACGAAAAGCTGCATCCAGTATTGGACTACTCTAAGCAGAACTGAATTAATAAGCTGAAGTCTTCCTGCATAGGTTAGCTTTTGGCCCTCCGGGATTTAACCCTCTTAGTAATCTTGTCAACCAGAATGTCAACTTCAGTAGAAGATAGTTTACTAGACAGGGGCAGCCCCAGATATCTGACAGGTAGTTCACCTTCTCCCTGAATCCAGAAAGAAGCAGTGCATTACTCTTATACTTGATGGCCTCTCCCCCAAAATAGATTTCACATAAGAAGGGTTACTTTTAAGCCCAGATAGCAGATAAAATTTATGCAGGACCTCTTTGACTTGAAGAATCGCTTGGGTCGATCTAGTAGTGAAAACCAGGATATCATCAGCAAAGCACATGTGGTTTAGAGAAATTCTCTGACACTGAGGGTGAAAAGGAATCAAACCAGACTAACTAGCAGCTCTCAGCATGCTCGATAGACCTTCCATGGTGATAGTAAACTAGTATGGTGATAGTAGATCACCTTGCCTGACTCCTTTCCTAACTCTAAAGAAACCACATAAAATTCCATTGATATTAAAACTGTAATGAGCAGTCTGAAGACAAGCCTTTATCCAGATCATAAATCTCTCTCGAAATCCCATAGCATGCATCATACGAAACAAGTATTGCCAACTAACAGAGTGAAATGCCTTCATGATGTCTATTTTAATTGCACAACGAGAAGACAAATGAGTTCTATTATAACCACTCATTAATTCCTGGGCTAATAAGATATTATCCATTATGCTCCTGTCTTTGAAAAATGCTGACTGAGTATTGCTAATGATCAAAGGCATAACATCACTACGCTTAGCAAGAATCTTAGCTACTATTTTGTACAGAAGGTTCACACACGAAATAGGCCTAAAGTTCTTCAATGAATCAGCATTAGACACTTTGGGAATTAAAGAGACAACAGTGGCATTTATCCCACAAGGAAGAGTACCTTTCTGAAAGAAGAATAAGATCCCTCTGATTATATCATCTCCTATAATAGCCCAAGTCTTTTTATAGAAGCCAGCAGAAAACCCATATGGCCCAAATGCTTTCTGGGAATTCATGCTGAAAACCACGCTCCTTATTTCTTCAGCTGTGACTTCCTTAACAAGGAGGTCACACTCAGTGTCAGGAAAGTGATGACACACCAGCTTCTCCGCCTCCTCTCTGCTAGGATTAATATTTAAATTAGCCGTTCCCAAAAGTTTCTTATAGAAGCCAAGGACCTCATCAATAATCTGGGAAGATTGGAATATTTCCTCTCATGTATCTGTAACCACTTTCCTTATAGCCCTCTTAGAGTTTCGAATTTTGACAGCCTGGTGAAAGAAATTTGAGCTTTGATCCCCAACTGTTAACCAGGACACCCTAGACTTCTGCCAGCAGAAACTTTCAAACGCTGAAGATATAAGATCATACTGGTCCCTTGCTTGAGTAACAAATTCAAAGTGCTCAGTAGTAGGATCAGAGAATGCCTTGGTTTGGGCTCTTAACAACTCATCCTCAGCCTCTTTCACCTGATCCTGTAGGTTACCATAGACCTCTTTATTAAACTTCTTCAGAGCCTGCTTTACCCTACACAGTTTACTTTGAATGACTTGCCAGGGGTTTCCTGAAACTTCAAGACTCCAAGCTTCTCTAACAATGTCCAGAAAGAGTGGGTGCTCTGCCCAAAACTCAAAATATTTAAACGGTTTGGGCAGATACTTAAAGGGATCCGTTGTACAAACTTGTATCCCACAGTGATCTGAGAACAGTGCAGGGAGAGCCTCTATAGCACAGTCTTTGAATAGCTCAATCCACTCCACATTAACCAGACACATGTCTAGCCGCCTAGCAATTGGACGATGAGCCTGCCTGTTGGTCCATGTGAATTGAGGTCCTGTTGTTCTATAATCAACCAAATCCATCTCACCAATCCATTGATTAAATCTCTCCATATTTGAAGTCACCTCCCACGATCCAAGGACGACCAATCACCTTCAACTGAGCAATCTCGTTGTAGGTATGAACTCTCCTCTTCATCATTAGATGCATATACTGCAGTTAGAAAGAAGGTATCCTTGTTTATATCTTCAACCAAACAATGAACAAAATTTTTCCTTGGATGAATCACAAGAAGTTTAATGGCAGGGTCCCAAAATAACCAGACCCGCCCCAGCTTCGAATCAAAACAATTGAGACATCTCTCTCATCCCACAAATACCTCCTCTACTGCCTCCTCAGCTTTATTGGCCTAAACTCTAGTTTCTAGAACTGCAACTACATCAACCTTATTCCTACGCAGGACTTGCATCAAGTCCATCTGTTTGGAGGTTTTATTAAACCCCCTTACATTCCAGAATAAAACAATCATCTCGAAGTTGGGGGTTTCCCCCCACCCTTCTTCACATCCTTTTTTACCTCCTTCTTCTTTGTTGCATCTTGCATCTTACCTACTTCCCTATCACCCAGCTTCCCCAATACACTGAAGGATGAATTAGATACTTGAATGCCCTTAGCACCGCCTGGAGATAGCCAGACATGAGGTCTAGCTCCATTGACCACCCTTTGAAATTCATCTTCAGAGGGTAATTTGGGTGATGAGGAAGTAGCCACCTCCTGGAAAGATTTATCCAAGTTCCGTGGAGCCACTTGGCCCCCTTCCATCGAAATTGGAGTAGTAAAGATGGCCTGCAATTGAGGGTCATCATCATATATCACCACCTCCTTGCCTTTACCACTTGTCACCTGTTGATCCAAATTCACCTTCTGAGTCACAAAATCATTCCCATTCTCTTGCCCCTGAATTGTAATCCCCTTCTCACTGTGTATTGGCTTAGCCACCCACTACTTTCCTTGGTGTTCAGCACATGTATCTGTAATCCCAAATAGCTGGCATACAGGGCATATGGGGGGCAAGTTACAATAGGTGATCCCAATACGAATGGACGAGTCTTCATCAGGCCACAGAAGAACGTGATCTGGACATTCACTCTCAACTGTAAGCTCTACCAGGACCTTAGCAAACCCATGTCTATCCCCCATCCTAGTAGTATGGTCCATACCCAGCGGAACCCCAATCCAACTTGCAATTCTGCTCAGCCCCTAGAAATCACTATACTCTAGGGGAACATTCGATAGGTTTACCCAAATCGGTAAAGCTTTTCTTCCCAAATCCTCAAAACTAATACCAGGAACCCAAGGACG